ATCGAGGATCTTTCCTCCGCATTTAAAATTAGATATTTAAAAATCATGCATATTCTCCTAAAATTGTTATCCCGGAAATTAATATTTTTTGTCAAATACTTTAATAATTATGAATTGCATAATGACATTTTCAGTTTTTAGTGTCCACTCAGCACTAGCCCTATACCCCTGCATGGCAGAATGAGGAGATGTTTGATAGATATCTTTTTTGAAAATACATTAATGTGAAATCTTTAACGATATAAAAATATTTATATAAATATGTTTTTTGATTCACCTAAAATCTTACCTCACAAGGGGATAGGGGGCACGCATCTGTGCGCCCCAGTCAAAGCTAGAAAGGTTTTTACAAAAAATGTTCAAGAAAATAGTAGCTTTTTAGCTTTTAGTACCCTACCTAAGCCTTAAAATTGCAAAATTACAACAACAACAAAAAACCAGTCTGTTTAGGGTTGAGAATGATCTTTTTATGTTCAGAATCTTTTTAAGCGTAACCTTTTTCAAACAATAAATGTTTTTAAGTAGATATTTATGTTTAATAAAATTATTTTAAAATAAATTAATTGAAGACAAAAAAAGTTGGATGAATGCTCATTTTTTGTTCAAAAGCTTTTTATATTTAAATTTACATGTATACCTTTTTCAAACATCCTTTTTTGTTAATACATATTTTTATTTTCATGAATTAAATAAAGATAGATGACTTGAACCCAAAGTTTAAACAGCAACGATGAATGAACTTGTTTTGTTCGGAATCTGTTTGTGTAAGTTTATATGTATACCCGGAGTAAAGTTGAATAGTACAGGTTGAAATCTGAACCTGGACCTATACAGTCAAACTCATTTCAGTTAAACTAATCATTTTGCAAAGTTAATCATTTTATCATGTTAATCATTTTATCAAGTTAATCATTTATCAAGTTAATAATTTTATCATGTTAATCATTTTATCAAGTTAATCATTTTATCAAGTTAATCATTTTATCAAGTTTATCATTTTATCAAGTTAATCATTTTATCAAGTTAATCATTTTATAAAGTAATTTATTTTATCAAGTTAATCATTTTATCAAGTTAATCATTTTATCAAGTTTATCATTTATCAAGTTTATCATTTTATCAAGTTTAACATTTTATCAAGTTTATCATTTTATCAAGTTTAACATTGAAATAGATTTAGAGGTTTCTAGGGGGGTTTTGAGGTCTCAATTGGTGCTGACTGCTGAGCTCCCCGCCCCCTAAAATGTTTTTGTATACGTAGTAAAATAGTGTTTATAACTTTAATGTTCTAGCTTGCTCCCATATAGATCCAGGCTGCTATTAAGACCGGGTCGAATTTAAAGTATCGCAACGCCTCATGGCCTTAGGTTTTCCCTCACTATCTCATTTATACTTTTTATAGCCTTAGACATGTAGATTTTACAACAAGCACTAGTTTTTAGCTTTCCTTTCAAAAGTGATTGGCAAATCGATTTATCAGCTTGCAAATAGACCTATTGATTATTGTGCTCCAACTAAATAATCTTCTCTATAGTCCATACAAAAGTCTGTACTAAAGATAAGAGAGTACGGAGATCTATTAAAGACTAGAATATGCGTATTTTCTTGAGCGAGGTCCGTACAATAAGCTGACGTCTGCACATTCAGGGATATTTCAGGATCCTTTGAATACGAAACACAAAACCTTAAAAATAAACTAAATTCATAAATTTTATGTTTTATGTTACAAGTTAGAGTATTTATTTAAAAATTGTAAAACTTAGCCTCGGCCCTGAATGGATATTACATGCAATAAGTGGTCGTTAGGTGGTAGTCAAAAAACTTTCTAGGAAATGTAACTTGTCGTACCGGCACAACTATAGACTTGCTTAGCCCAGCGCGCGAGAGTTTATGAGCTGTCTGTGTATATCTATGGCCAATTTCTTAGACGCTCTACCATAGGTAGAACCATACAGTCACACTATGGTTACGCTTTACCAGAGCAGTGTAGATAGATAGATACGACCTATAATTGTACCTATGGTTAAATGAATAAGAAATTGGCCACTAGTCTGTGGTTTACAACTACTGTTTGCAGTACGATCCTGAAGTACAAAGTTGTTTAAGAATACCATTTAAATATAAAAGATGTTAGCCTAACCAAAATTACTTCTTACTAAAATATTATTATCAGGTTTGTATATCTTTAGTCGCGAAATTTTTTCTACGCCCAGTGTAACATTTACAGGACATTAAAAAACAAATATGCAAGTAAGTATTGCATATTAAAAGTTATGCATACTACAAACAAAGAGAAAAGAATATATATTAGAGAGGAATTTACTTGAAAAAAGTGTAAAAAGGCCATTTTGTTGTACTGTTTCCATACTGCAAGTGTACTTCACATATTTATGCTATATAACCGTTTGGGCCCTGGAATATCATTTTATAGAAAATCTAAAATTAATATTAAAAGAAAACCAAATTATGAAATAGGCTGGTTTCATAATTGACCAATGATCATTTCACATAGACTCTATGCCTTTCACTTTACAAACGATGATTTTCCGTTATAACTATAAATCAAATGATTTTTTTATACCTAATTTAATATAAAGTTTATTTAACAGCTTTAAAAAATTCGAAATTTAAATTCAGGCTGAAAGGGACTGAAAAAATTCATACCGAGAGATTCTGTAAATTCCCCTCTAATATATATTCTATTCTCTTTGACTACAAAACTATTAAACTATTTTTGTAAGTTGCGGTATATGGTCATATATGAAATTGCTGAATTTGGTTTAGTTTTACATTTATATGAAACAGCACAAAGGTTGAATTAAAAAATCTTATATAGGATTTAAAATTAAAAAATGTCGAGTCTAGTTCGCTCAAATATTTTGTTGTGAGCAAGCTATGGGAAGCCACTGAAAGTTCTCAGGTTGACAATATGTGTGAAAAGTGCTTTGAAAGAACTGGATTGTTCCGGCCCTTGGAATGAACAATTTCCCAACAAACTCAAGCTAATGCCAGGAACTGTCTTCAAGAGGACTGAACACCCTGAGCAACTTGATGATCCTCCCTTCGCTGAGCATCTTGATGATCTTCTCCTCACTGAGCAGCTTGATAATCCTCCCTTCAACGAGCATCTTGATGATCCTCTCTTCGCTGAGCATCTTGATGATCTTCTCCTCACTGAGCAGCTTGATAATCCTCCCTTCAACGAGCATCTTGATGATCCTCTCTTCGCTAAGCATCTTGATGATCTTCTCCTCGCTGAGCAGCTTGATGATCCTCAATAATAACATTACATTCAATATATATTTGAATACATTTGTCACTTACATTCATTATATATTTGAATACATTTGTCTCTTACATTCATTATATATTTGAATACATTTGTCTCTTAATATTATTTATTTGAATACATTTGTCTCTTACATTTATTATATATTTGAATACATTTGTCTCTTACATTTATTATATATTTAATACTCAACTCAAGGAAAAACACAAAACCAACTGTGTAAGAAATTCAAAGCAAAAAGTTCAGTTTATTTTTTGAATAAATTTGGCTAAATATGATGCATTCATTGTTTTATTTTCTTCAGTATAGTATGACTATAGGTTGGTAGGCGATTAGATTAATAAAATAAAGACTACTTTTTATCTATACGTTGGTAGGCAATTATGTCAATAAAATGAAGACTACTTTTTATTTAATTTTGTATTGTTAAGAAGCTTCATTTGAAGTACAAATTTACTAGTAATTTAAGTGAAACAGGTTTAATTTTATGTCCATGTTTCTGTGCATCCATGCTGTTTAAAAGCTTGTTATAAATCAAAATTGAAATCGAAAGTTGTCTTCATTTTATTGATATAATAGCCTACCACCATAAAGTGAAGCCTAAAACAAAAGAATTTTCATCGATGCTTTCCTTTTAAGTATTGAACCATATACCTTTCCCCCAAAAAAAGCATAATGTAGACAACATTAAAGTCTGATGGTTTATTTCTGTTCTTGGGATTAATATGGCCGGCTTTTATAAGATTTTCAACAGAAAAGATGTTGTAATCCAATTAGTATGTTTATTAGGTCTCATTGTTAGAGAATTAAAAATGCAGAAGTTTTTCTATAACCTTAGTTAAACTTTACAATTGAATAACTTAAAGTTTTTTTTTTTAATTTTGATGATTTTGATCATTTATGTTGCAATTTACTATGACCAGAATATTTCATTGATTTTTTATTTGAAAGATGGATCCCATTCAGTCTGTGACACCCCTACACTTGTGTTTACATTAGAGCCCAAAGACAGTACACTGCAGTACAAAAAATTCGTACACCACTGAAATAACTTTCCTTGCATTAAAACCATGAGCTTAACTATAACCAAATAACGCACTTTACAACTGTACTCATTACTCAATTAGAATTTATTGTGTATACCTATAATACAATTACAGTTCATGGGTACCATCGTGGCAGAGTGGACATTAGTGATTTTAAACCAAAGTTCATTTAACAAGTTTATCATCTTGTGACTTCCAGTCTATTGGATCATTAAGTTATCAATTGAACGAAGTTTATATTTAACAAATTATGATTATTGATCAAAAAAATTTCTTAAAAAGGTAACTATTTGCAAAGTTAATCAATTAGCTAATTAATCAATTAGCTAATTAATCATTTAGCATGTTAATTACATCACAAGTTAAATTTGTGGATTTTTGGACTGTGCGTTATAATTATTTTTTAAATTATTATATTTTTGCAAATTTTCATTTAGTCAATTGTTAATCATTTTGACAAGTTCGACTATCAATTCATTTAAAGCATGGAATTCTATGTCATTTTTTCCAATTATATTTTTTCTTCAAATAGTTTTCTAGATTTTACATTTTTGTAGTTCTTTGTTTAAAAAAGAATATGATTAGACCTGTTGTGTTTCCACGATGCAACTAAAATAAAGTGATAAAGTTATTTCCTTCCACATTCTTCAAATTTCTGACTTATTTCATATTTTTTTTCAGATACAAATGAAGGTCTTAGTGTTTGTCTCAGGTTAAGATAGATTATATCAATGTCTTAAAGGGACTGTAAGCGTATTTTCGAGTGCCCATCCATGCAAAAATGGCAAGGTCCGATATACAGTGGTACCCTTAAAAGCTTTGTATGATCAAGTGTGAATGAGATATCCATGTTTTGTATCCTTATTTGTTATATTTTGCGGGTTCTCTCCGAAAGTGGCATGAGCATTTTCTGTTAATAAGTAGCAATGGAGAATTTTCCGAAATTAAACATTTTTCGAGTTTGGAAACATTTTAAGATCAGATTAAAGTTTCCAGGGTACCTTTGTACGCTTAAAGTCCTGTTAAACCTGAAAATACTGTTTTTAATAAAAAATTACTGTAATCATTAGAAAGGAAATGAAGTAAACACTCCCTTTAAAATACAATCTTTGCATGCAATATGATCTCGTGTAGACCTTTTTATATTTCAAATTAGGAAATTTACTTGATAGATATTTTAAGCAAAGGGTGTGCATCACAGGGACCAGACAATTTCAGTGTGTGGCCAGTTTTTAGTTCCCTTCAGGATTAGTATTTGAAGAACGTATCTTTTAATGAAATCAGAAAAACTAAAAGTTCAAAAAGAAATGTTTTTTTTTCTCGTTTTAACTTGAGTTAGATAGGAATAAATATTTGTCATTTATTTTCCCTAGAATTCGATCTTATGACATGCAAAACCTAATCCCAGTCCAATACAATTATACAGGCAAATCCTAATCCAGGTCCAATACTAGCAAATCCTAATCCCAGTCCAATACAAGATAATCCTAATCCCAGTCCAATACAAGATAATCCCTAATCCTAATCCCAGTCCAATACAAGCAAATCCTAATCCCGGTCCAATACTAGCAAATCCTAATCCCAGTCCAATACAAGCTAATCCTTATCCCAGTCCAACACAAGCGAATCCTAATCCCAGTCCAATACAAGCAAATCCTAATCCCGGTCCAATACTAGCAAATCCTAATCCCAGTTCAATACAAGCAAATCCTAATCCCAGTCCAATACAAGCAAATCCTAATCCCAGTTCAATACAAGCAAATCCTAATCCCAGTCCAATACAAGCTAATCCTAATCCCAGTCCAATACAACCAAAAATATAATCCCAGTCCAACACAAGCGAATTCTAATCCCAGTTCAATACAAGCAAATACTAATCCCAGTCCAATACAAGCTAATCCTAATCCCAGTCCAATACAAGCTAATCTTTATCCCAGTCCAACACAAGCTAATTCTAATCCCAGTTCAATACAAGCTAATCCTAATCCCAGTCCAATACAAGCAAATGCCCATCCCAGTCCAATACAACCGAATGTTATAAGTCTAAGAATATTTATAAAGGTTTTTTTCCCTTGATATTCTATTTTTTTTAAGTATGTTTGTTTGTTGGATTTGCAAGAAGTAGTTTAAACATGACGATTAGAAGTACATGCAGTAATCTAGAGAACCAGAAATGGAATAACAGGAAATCTATAAAAAGCTGAAATCCTAAATAAATGCAAATAAGATTATATTAATTGATTGCACGCTTACATTCAAGGGTGCTGATTTTTTCTCCTGATAGATCAAAATTATTAAATAGAAATTCCAACAAGATTTTTTTTTTACCATAAAGAAAAACCAAAAACTTAATTTTAATTTCAAGTGACGCATCCATCGAAAATGACGCATTCAAGTGACGCATCGAAAATGTGGCAAGTACTTTTCACAATGGGCCGGTTCCAAGGGCGTAGTCAGGAATTTTTCCTGGGGGGGGGTTTAAATTTTTTTATCTTCCCAGGGGGGGGGGCTCAGAACCCGTTGGGGCCTGAAAACTCCCTGAAATCAATAGATTTCACTGGTCCATGGGGGGGGCTTAGCCCCCATAGCCCCCCCCCCCTGAATACGCCTCTGGTTCCTTCCAATGATTCATTCTGTAGAAAATTACAATAAGTAAACAAAAGAGGGACATATTCTGTAAGTAGTGTAAATATTCCTTTGATTTTTTAAAATTTGCTTTTTATATTTCCTGTGTTTGCAGAAAAATAGGAGATAATATTCGTGTTTGGTGGAACAGTTTAACTACAGGTAAATTATTCAACTTTATCAAAATAAATTCTTTTTAAAAAACTTTTTTTGATTTTTTTAGTTTTTGGTTCGAAGGGGCCAAATCTATACTTATTCTACAGGAACGGGTTACTTTTGCAAGCACATAAATTAAAATAATTAAACCGCAGATTAAATATAAATACTGAGATCATCGATTACTTAAAAATATTCAATTCTGTTAATAAAAATTGAATCAACCTACAAACAGAAATGAGAAGAAGTACTATGTACACTCCAATGGACTACTGCAGGATGAACAATCCCTTTATACTCTCTCCAGGTTTAGTGAACAATCCCTTTATATACTCTCCAGGTTTAGTGAACAATCCTTTTATATACTCTCCAGGTTTAGTAAACAATCCCTTTATATTCTCTCTCCAGGTTTAGTGAACAATCCCTTTATATACTCTCCAGGTTTAGTGAACAATCCCTTTATATACTCTCCAGGTTTAGTGAACAATCCCTTTTTACTCTCTCCAGGTTTAGTGAACAATCCCTTTATACTCTCTCCAGGTTTAGTGAACAATCCCTTTATATTCTCTCCAGGTTTAGTGAACAATCCCTTAATATTATCTCCAGGTTTAGTGAACAATCCCTTTATATACTCTCCAGGTTTAGTGAACAATCCATTTATATTCTCCCCAGGTTTAGTGAACAATCCATTTATATTCTCTCCAGGTTTAGTGAACAATCCCTTTATATTCTCTCCAGGTTTAGTGAACAATCCCTTTATACTCCAGGTTTAGTGAACAATCCCTTTATACTCTCCAGGTTTAGTGAGCAATCCCTTTATATTCTCTCCAGGTTTAGTGAACAATCCCTTTATACTCCAGGTTTAGTGAACAATCCCTTTATATTCTCTCCAGGTTTAGTGAACAATCCCTTTATATTCCAGGCTTAGTGAACAATCCCTTGAAAAATGAATCAAACTGTAAAAAAGAAATTATTCAGAAAAATCCGAAAGAAAAAAAATTAGACCGATAGCATTAATAGTTTGGGTGCTAGGAAAGGTGAAAAAAATGCCTAAAAATGGGTAAAAAAATGAAAAAAATATTTAGTTTTTGTTTGAAAAAAATATCAAAGTGTGAGTGTGACACATGTTTCTTCATGCATTATTCAAGGGCTTTTCAAAAATATAGTTTTAGATCTATACCTTTTGTCACAAAAAGTTGTGGGCTATTTTAGATTTGTTTTTCACAGACCGGACTTTTTTTCGCCCTGTACCCTATAAATAAAAAAAAATTTAAGCAAAAAATCCTTTAAATTTCTATTCATTAAAAGTCACAAAATTTCGCAGTGATAGTGTCAAAAATGAGAGTGTCAGGACCAAAAAAATACAGGGGGGGCGCCAAACGCAAAACGCCCCCCCACCCAGACTATTCAAGGTAATAAATAGTACATTAATTTTCAGCTCATTGATAGATAGTAAGAAGAAATTCTCCATCAACAAAATTCAATTATGTCCTAAACTTTAGCATGCAGTAGAGCTTTCACAGTATAAATGAAGCGCTTAATAATTGGTTCTTAAATTTTTAAAATATCCAAAACACCAGACCAAAAGTATGTGGTTTTAATAATTCAAAAGTTCCAAACTCTGAATTGATATTCTATAGTGGCGGAACCAGTTCTACTCCTGCCGGAGTCACATGGCAGATGGCCGGCCGGGAGAGACGGGACGGATTTATTTATGGAAAACCGGATACTCAAGGCTTTCTTACAGGTCGGAGAGATATTTTTATTCCTAATCACAATTTAAGTCAGGATGGATTGAATTACAATAGTAAAGCATGTGCGTTTATTATGGTAAAACTGAAATAGGTAATAGAATATAAGATTATTAGGACCATTGTGGTTCAATAGAATATAAGATTATTAGGACCATTGTGGTTCAATAGATCTACATCCTGTTAAAAATTATGTTGTTAGGAGATGATCTGGTTTTCATTTATCCTGATTTTCGGACTGGTCTGCTTGGAAGGTAATACTTAGATACTTAATTTAAGTTTTAGTACAGAGTTGCCCACAAAGAAGGAGACTATAAAGACTTTAATCTAAAATTCTTTGAAAATGACGAATCCAAGCTTGAATATATAGTCTTGGATATAGTCTTTTAAGGACAGTTTTAACGATTTCACAAAGAAAGTAACAAGTTTATAGTTGCAAAGAATTATCAACGTAAGAAAACAGACGGTATAAATTCTTTATAGTCGTCTCTGAAGTCTCATCCTTTGTGGGTAACCAAGTTTTTAAAGAACTGCAAATTTCAAATGTTTTCCAGGTTTACCGAGGGTATTCTGGAATATGGGAGGGAGATAAAGATTACATGGGAAAGATGTAATATGGGAGTCAAGGAGATTCAATATCAAGTAATTTATGTACTTTCTTCAATATCAAGTAATATATGTACTTTCTTCAATATCAACCAATATATGTACTTTCTTATACCAAGTAATTTATTTACTTTCTTCAATATCAACTAATATATGTAATTTCTTCAATATAAAGTAATATATTTACTTTCTTTAATATCAAGTAATTTATGTACTTTCTTCAATACCAAGTAATAGATGTACTTTCTTTAAAATCAAGTAATTTATGTACTTTCTTCAATACCAAGTAATATATGTACTTTCTTCGATATCAAGTAATATATGTACTGTACTTTCTTTAATATCAATTAATATATGTACTTTCTTCAATACCAAGTAATATATGTTCTTTCTTTAATATCAAGTAATATATGTACTTTCTTTGATATCAAGTAATTGATGTACTTTCTTTAATACCAAGTAACTTATGTACTTTCTTCAATAACAAGTAATTGATGTACTTTCTTCAATATCAAATAATGTATGTACTTTCTTCAATATCAAGTAATATATGTACTTTCTTTAATATCAAGTAATTTATGTACTTTCTTCAATACCAAGTAATATATGTACTTTCTTCAATACAACTAATATATGTACTTTCTTCAATATCAACAAATATATGTACTTTCTTTAATACCAAGTAATTTATGTACTTTCTTCAATATCAACTAATATATGTAATTTCTTCAATATCAAACAATATATGTACTTACTTCGATATCAACTAATATATGTAATTTCTTCAATTTCAAGTAATATATGTACTTTCTACAATATCAACTAATATATGTACTTTCTTTAATATCAAGTAATTTATGTACTTTCTTCAATATCAACTAATATATGTACTTTCTTTAATATCAAGTAATATATGTACTTTCTTCAATATCAAGTAATATATGTACTTTCTTAAATATCAAGTAATTGATGTACTTTCTTCAATATCAAGTAATGTATGTACCTTCTTCAATATCAACTAATATATGTACTTTATTTAATATCGAGTAATATATGTACATTCTTAAATATCAAGTAATTTATGTACCTTCTTCAATATCTAGTAATATATGTACATTCTTCAACATCAAGTAAAATATATGTACTTTCTTCAATATAGATATCAAGTAATATATTTACTTTCATCAATATCAAGTAATATATGCACTTTCTTCAACAATATCAATATTAAGTAATATATGTATAGTACTTTCTTCAATATCATGTAATATATTTTACTTACTTGTTTACTTGTGTAGTGGTTTACAGGAGACCTCCTGGTCTATGGTGGAAACGTTTTCGGCCATGGTTCATTTGTTGTCTGGGGTCACCACTTTAGAAATATATTTATTGTTCTAGATATAAATACATGATAAATAACGAGTGTAATAAAGGAAAGGAAGATGAGTAGGTCTTCTCTGGTTCTGCAGATATCATTGAAATTTAAGGATCTTCTTTATTTAAGAATATTCTTTATTTAAGGATATTCTTTATTTAAGGATATTCTTTATTTAAAGGGACAGTAAAGGAAAAATGAAAGGGGGTATAGACTGAAAGCTAATCACTTTAGCTCTCGATCGCGACCCATGAAAGTTTTATCTGATGTTCCTATCTCGAGAGATTGATTTACAACTGTGTCAAATTTATACGAAAATTAACATATATACAATTTTGTATAAAAGTAGTGGGTTTAAATAGATCAAATTCAGCAAATAAGCAACCAATCTGAAAACGATAATATCCCCGAGAAAGCTAATTATTACTTAGGTTTACTCCAATTCTAATTTTATATTTGTTATTTCTATTTTTAATAGATTTAATTCATAATATTATTTACACGCCCGAATTGCTTGACCAGAAAATCCACCAATGACAGTGCAGTAAAGTGGTCACGTGATACAGGCAGAGACACGTGATCAGTATACTGCTCTGCCATTGGTGATAGTTCTGGTCACGTGATTTAAGTTTAATATTTTCCAAATTTTACATATATGAACTTTCGTATGATTTTAACACAGTTTTATATCAATTTCTCGAGATAGTAACATCAGATAAAACTTTCATGGGTCGCGATCAAGAGCTAAAGTGATTAGCTTTCAGCCTATACCCCCTTTCATTTTTCCTTTACTGTCCCTTTAAGGATATTCTTTATTTAAGGATATTCTTTATTTAAGGATATGTTTTTAAACAGTGTTCAGCTTAACAGTTATGTTAATTGAAGGGTATGTTTTTAAAAGTATTTTTAAACCACAAACCTGGTATTCAGGTTGTAGGGGACCATGTATGGAGAAGAGATATACCTAATGCAACACATATTGGACTTTTCCCAAATATCGTTGATCCATACGAGAGAAAAGCTGTTCATGTCAGGTATAGATAGGAGTATGTTTATGTTAGGAATAATCAACAACAATGTTTATGTTATCCACAAAAATCCAAGATTTTGCCACAGGTCAGAACTTTGGTGTGGTGTTTCATTGATCTTGAAGGCTTGATCTTGATGTCCAATGTGGGAACTTTTAAATTTGAAGATAAATTGCTTGATCCTTTAAATAAAGCTATTCCTGCAGGCTAGATGAATTGAAGAGGAATGAAATCAATCCGTATAGTAGGTCTGCTTGTAATAGATATTGGGTAAACATGATATTCTGTAAACCTGAAGTACAGTGTACATAATTAAATATCTATGTTTGAAAACTTTTATAGAAAAGCCATTTTTCATTGAAACTGTGTCACAAAGGAACAAGTAGCATGATTAGCTTAAATCATGGGATAAATCTAATGACTTGCATTTTAATTGCGCCTATTTTTAATTTTGCTGTAATACGTAACATGGTTCTCTAAATCATGTGATTATAGAGAACGACGTAGGAATTGCAATTCGTTTATTAACTTTAACTTGTAACATAAACCTCAATTACATTAGTTGATACAGAAACTCTGCTTTGATTACAGTGCTGAGAGTAATTATGGTTTTGTTGAAACATACAAATTGAGGTCATATCTTGTATGAGACATTGATTAATAGATTTCTATTGTCCGGTTGCCATAGCAAACCCCATCGCGTCCAGTGGTAGTGGCGTTAATAGTTCACTGGATTGTAGCTGTGTGGATTGTGTCCTGTTTAAAACATTCATCAATAGAAAGCTATTGTCTGGTTGACATAGCAAGAGAGATTGTGCCCAGTGTTAGTGGCATTGATAGTTCACGGGATTTTCGCCGTGTGAATCGTTTAAGACATTAATTAATAATTAGACCTAATGTATAATTGAATGATATCTGATGGGGTTTGAAATGTTAATTGAAAACATATAACATAATATATGGGATTGTTATAAAATTGTGGAGTTGATTGCTGTGAGGGAGCTGCTCAACTGCTGGTATCGAAGAATTCAAGAACCCGAGCTTGTCTGGTGCACATAAGTACATTTTAACAATTTTATCATAAAAGCAAAACTATCCATTTTTAAGAGTCTTTTGCATTTGATTGTTATTTTTACAAAAAAGAAGTTTTAATTTATGTAAACACCTGGCAGAGTTCATATAGGTCGATGATTGATTCCAACCATGACTCAACATCTTTTACGATTAATACTTAAACATTCTTTCTTGAAAATGCGTACTTTGAACTCCCATACACAAGATTGCTATTGTCCCCTTGACATAGCAAACAAGATCGCGCCCAGTGTTAGTGGCATTGATAGTACACGGGATTGTAGCTGTGTGAATCGTATCCTGTTTAAGACAATTAATTATTAGACCTAATGTATAATTAAATGATATCTGATGGGGTTTGAAATGTATATTGAAAACACATAACATAGTATATGGGATTGTTATAAAATTGTGGAGTTGATTGCTGTAGGGGAGCTGCTCAACTGCAGGTATAGATGAATCCTAGAACCCGGAGCTTCTCTGGTGCATATAAATACATTTTAACAATTTTATCATAAAAGCACAACTATCAATTTTTGAAAGTCTTTTGCATTCGTTTGTGATTTTTACAAAAAAAAAGTTTTAGTTTATGTAAACACCCGGCAGAGTTACTTATATGGATGATTTTTAAAATTAATTCTTTAACATTCTAATTGTTAAAATGTGTGCTTTGAACTCCCTTACACAAGATTGCTATTGTCCGATTGACATAGCAAACAAGATCGCGCCCAGTGGTAGTGGCATTGATAGTACACGGGATTGTAGCCGTTCACATCGTGCCCTGTTTCAGACATTGATCAATTGATTGCTAGTGTCCGTATTGACACTGATATCTAACAGGATCGTGCCCTTTGATTTGGCATTGATAGTTACGCGTTTCCGGTTGATATCGATAGCTAACGAGATTGTTTCCGGGTTTAAACATTGATAACTAAGTCAAACTGAGCTGTACCTGGATAGATACTGGTTCGAGAAATTGTTCTGAAGTAGGCGTTTACTACATGCGATCAACCATGGAGATTTACAACACAATTAAGTTCTGACTTCGGGATATTTTAAGTACTTTCTATCCCATGGGAGCGTATTTTCGAGAGTAAAATATGATTATCTTAGAAATAAATTCACATTGATGATTGCAGGTCTTCGAATATATTGGGAAGTAATGAAGGTCTCTATTCAAGAAGGAATTTTCTACCCGGAGATTTAGGAAAAAACTCATTTATTGAATACTAGGAATTCAAGGTGCATCGCGCCCATTAACATTTTCCTGATTTTTCTGCTATCATTAATGAATTTCCAAAAATAAAGTTTAAATATTTTTAATTTTGACCTGACCGACAATAAACCTTCAATGAAAGCATATTGGATACCACAAAAAAATTATGCCTCGTCGGTTAAGTTGTTTTGACGCTCAATGGATACAAACAAATAAAAAGGCGAAAAATATATAGATGAACACTTACATATATTCTCTATTTAGGGTTACCAACAAGGGTGAAACTTCTGAGACGACTTTAAGGAATTTATTCAATCTTTATTCTTGCATTCAATGTTCTCTTTTATGCTTATATTCTTTGCCAAATCATTCAGAACATCATCAAAATATAATATTTCAGAAAAATCAAATCTTTAGGTCGTCATTAAATTCTCATTCTTAGTTGGTAACCTGTACTATAAATTGACTATAGCAAAAAAAAATATTAAAAGCTTCGACAATGATCCCCAATTACAAAACTAAAAAATAATATTTTATTTAAAGAATGAGATTTTATGTTTGCAGTTTCATACTTCAACGGAGTAAAAACATTTGAAGAGAACTTCTTGTTTCCAAACCTGACTTCAGAGGAGCATTGGATAGCTCAGGCCTACTACCTGGACCTGTATGATATGTCTCCAACAGCCTGGAATCTACCAAAAGATATTGTTATAGATATTCCCGTACAGTACAGGTAAGTGTAAACAATGTACATACTGCTGCAATGTACTGTTGATATAGTGGAACTGAATACTCGCCACAAACTCTAAATAAATACATTCAAATTCGTCATGTCCTTAGAATTTAGTATTAAAGGCAAGGTTTTAGTCCTTTAGTCTTTTTGGTATAAAGGGGTTCCTTAAAAATATGATATTTTTTGGTTTAAAGGGGTTCCTTAAAAATATGATATTTTTGGTTTAAAGGGGTTCCTTAAAAATATGATATTTTTTGGTTTAAAGGGGTTCCTTAAAAATATGATAGTTTTTGGTTTAAAGGGGTTCCTTAAAAATATGATATTTTTTGGTTTAAAGGGGTTCCTTAAAAATATGATATTTTTTGGTTTAAAGGGGTTCCTTAAAAATATAATATTTTTTAACAAAGAAAACCAATACTTCCCGCAAACTTTAATATTCTATGACCTATATATTTGCAACCTGATGATGTAGACGATTTATATTTCATACGTTGTGACTATTTGACCTACGAAATTTTGTTGCAGAGATATGAGAATTAGAAAATTAAATGTTATGGCTAATATAATCAGTTCCTTCCATTTGCTAAGTTGGAAAGTCCAATTCTGAAATTCTAGAAGGATTAGATAAATGAATAGAAGTTTTCTAAATAATTTTTAATCTTTTTAATGTTTAATGTGTTTAACGTTTTAGGAGTTTAAGCCAGTACAGAACCACATATACTCATAAAACAAATCATAAGGTATTGGTTAAAGTTTTAAATAAATATTTTAAAGAATATATGAAGTTTGGAATCAGCGATTTAATTTCTTTATAAATATGTTAAAAAAATAAGGCATGCAGCTTTAAGTGATTCTAAAATTGCAAGCTCTCGCGAAAATATCCATGAGAATTTTGCAATAACTTTTCAAACTTGAAAAAAGTTTTTTCAAGTAGAACAAGCTAAATCCTGAAGAATTGTTGGTAACCCTTATGAACTAAGCTTTATAATACTAAATGTAAGAAACAACTAATCTTTGTTTCTATAATTCAAAAGTCTTTAATGATCTTTAATTTTACCAGGTTTTCAAAGCCCCCTTTCTTACTTTATTTTGTATATGTGGTTGATTTATCATCAAGCACCTATCTTTTATAACAGAAATTCTTAAATAATTTCTAAAATATATTTTTTTAAAGTAAAAACTTCTTAAAAACTCAACAGGAGTTTAGATCCTAATTGTCCTATCAAACCAAATCTTGGGTCATTTGACATCTCCCAAATAAATTTTGGTTTGATCGATTTAGCCGTTTCAAAGATGAATCTATATGATATGTATATATATGTATCTGATAAGAAATAAAAATTATCTAAATTTTATTTCCGTACAATTTCCTTCGTTTGTTTACACTCCTCGGTAGCATGAGATTTGAGGATAACTGAAGTTTTTAATTTTTTTTTAATAAGTTGTCATATATCTTTAAATTGTTTATGATACAGGGTGTCCCAATAAACATGGGAATTCAGTGACGAATTCGGTATTGTCTTTTTAAATAATTCTTTGATTTAGTATAGTGATACCTACTGAGAAAGCTGTAATCTGTAAGAGATCCGTCTGCCATGTTCACATTTTGTTTGTTTTGTTTTGACTGCATATGGTTGTACTTAGTAAAAAAAAGAAAATTGCAGTATACAAACAGAGTAAACTTGTCCGTCTTCACTGTTCATCTTGCGGAGAAGTTATTGACACATCTTTACAGTCTTTTACCCTTTTCATAAAATAAAGCCTAGCAGACATAATAATATTATAGCTTTTGAAATTAGGTATTACAATGCTAATTCATAACAAAGACGATATTAAATTCGTCACTGAATTCCCATGTTTTTGGGACACCCTGTATATGAAAAATTGGAAAATGATAAAATAAATATTTCACCATCAATTGTTGAAGAGTTTTCTTTAATGGTTTTGTGGATTCGATTTTAATGTTCCAAAAATATAAATTTTATTGTTCCAAAAATATAGATTTTAATTCTTCACATTTCTCAATGTTTTTAACCTTAAATCTAAAGCAAACAAAAATTTTGAAAATTTCATGTCAAAAATCTTTATTCCCGTTTTTTTAACTCGCCCTGTATTTATAAGTTTTCAGTTTGAAGATACAAATGTTGAGTTTGACGCTGTTCTGCATCCTATGTTTGGTCCAATAGGTTGCATTGTAGCCACTCAGCTTATTCCTAGGAAAACTAGTATTTTATAATAAACTATAATTTGGGAACTCAGCTTTGCCTGGAAACATATTTTCCTCTATACTTTGCAATCCGCTCAATCTAAAAAACTTGGTAAAACCATAAGAATGAAACGGGTTAAAAGTTCTAAATTGAGTAGGTTAACTTTTATAGGGGAAAACTTGGCTGTGTTCCCAATCTAACTAATCATATCTTTTTAATTTTAACAAACGTAAATAAATATAATGTAAATAATTTAATCATTTAATCAATCTTATTACTTTTTATTGGGTTTCAAATTTTTATCATTGCAATCTCCCAAAATTTTAAATGGAATTGAGTCTTTGCCACAAACTCTGAGATTTTCTAATCCTTATATCTGTGCAACCCAATGTCCTAGATCTTTGATATTTCGAACAATGAATTCTGTTAGATCAAATATTCTAAATTTGAAGTATAAAAAGTTACATCATCAAGTTGCAAGGATATAGTGATTACAAAATTTGAGCTTGTGGCAACAACTCAATTCCTTTTGAGTAGATTGGAACAAACCAAAATCTAACAAATCATACATCTTAATTGTTTTCAAATAAGCTTTTTATGACCATAAACCATTTTAAAACTCACAGTAACATTCTCTTTATCAAGCAAAAATATTTCCAAGCTTTTTTGTAAGTTTAAAACATTCAATGCGCTTTAGTAAAACCTCAAAAAAAATACTATTGTCGCATACAGAGATACTGAGATATTTGTTAACTATGGTTATGGTATGGAGTATGCCCCTGACTGGTATAGAGATCTATGGAAGAAACATAAAAAGATGAAAAGACTTCAATCCGGAAAAAATATAACTTCAATTTAAACATTTTATAGTAAAATGTTTGAGTGACTTGTTTTCACTTGTTTCATATAAGAAATGTTAATTAAATAGCTCTTTTTATGAGACAAATTTTTTAATTTTTACATTTGGATGTATATTGTATATATAGTGTTAAGTATATGATCCATGTAAATATAAATATAAAATATTATAAGAATATTTCAGAACTTTTAAAGTTAATGGAAAAACCAATTCTTAACAAACTTAATACATAAAGGACGGACGACATCATATTTATTCCTACTCATATTCAATATTTCTATTGTAAGACGACATTAAAGCAATTCCGAAGGAAGTGCATTTGATGTTGTTGCAAGGCAAAAGCTTTATAGTAATTTATTAAATCACTTATTAAGTGAAATGGGTCTGTTTACACTGCACAATTGCTGTGTTTCATGTTCATTAGACTATTACAATTATAACTTGAGTTTAAATGTCGACTTCAATCCTACTTCATCGTCTGCAAAACGAATTTCATGTAAGTTTATGCGTTTACGTAAATTTCCTTTTTTACAAGTTCAAGGGATTTAAAGCTGTAAAAATATCAAATATGGAATTAAAAATCTTCAAGTTCCGAACGTTGAATGTGTTAGAAGAGTTAGAAAGAATGTTCACAATATTGCTTCCGAACCTTGGTTGTACAAAAGTGACTCGCGCATTTCTTGCTTCAGAAACTATGGAAAATAAAGGTTTCAGAGGTACATTGTACATGGAGGGGATCACTTGAAATATTATGCATGTATTCCATTTAAGTTTACATCGTATAAAAAACACATTAAAATCTCACTTTTGCCCATGAACTAAAAAGTTTTAATCAATATACTCAGTGTAAATATATATATTTGATATTATAATTTATAAAGCAATATGTATCGATCCTAAGAAAATATATAGATATCCTTTTAGAAACGTTTCCATCTCTATTTTTCATCCCTTGAAGCTTACACCACAATTGAGAGATTGTATACATATGAGTAGGCCACTTAAGAAAATTACATAATTAATTTATTAACGAGCTAAATATGGAAGTCTGTATATGATCGAAAGTTTACATAGTTAAAAAAGATAGATGTCAATAATTTTTCAAGGGTTTTTTTAAGGGTGGAGCACAATGTTGCCAAGGGGGGGGGGGCACACATTTTTTTTGCGCGCTGACGTAAGCAAAATGTACGCCCGGCCCCCCTTACACAAATGCTCTCGTACAGCCCTGTATCTATCATATAAATTTATTTATGATATTTTTTGTTTTTAACAGTCATAGCACACTTGACACTACCCGCTGAAATCAGCGACAGTTTCAAAATTTAGATCAAACAACATTTTAGTAAAAACTAAAAAGATAGCATTTGCAGCAAATTGTGCTATTTACATCACTTACCCGTATATCTTCCGACCCGCATTTGTATCATAAGATTTTAAGATAATAGAAAGCGTCCCATCATTAGATTATATCCAAGCTTTAATGCCAAAATACGCACATATGAAACTCAAATTAAACCTAGTATTTTCTGCAAGAAAACTTTGATAAGCTTTGTTAAGACGACTTTTATATCGTAGAATTTAAAAAAGTTCTTGTTTTCCATGGTCCGAAAAATGCTAACTCATTAGAATCCCGCTTTAGAAAATGTAAATATACATTGAAAAATGTAAAACATCATGTATTATGCATTTGGAACTGAACCTGTGGTAAATAGTTTCCTCTGCCAGGGGCGGATACAGGATTTAAGTGAGGGGGGGGGGAATCAAAATTAGGACCAATATTACAATTTTGATAAATGAGTATTGATTAAGGAACATTATACTAGATATGAACAATATTATAACTTAAGTCTAGTTTCTTACAAATTTCTAATTCTAAATTTATCGTTAACAATAACATTTACTTGTTGTCCTTGATTTTTAAATTAAACTGAAGAAAAGAAAGTCAAGATTTCCAATAAATTAAAAAAAAAAGCTTGAAATTGAAACACATATATTCGATTTATAAAATTGGGAGCATTTTTTGCCTCGTTGGGGGTGGCGAATGTCCCCACGCCACCCCCCTGTATCCGCCCCTGTCCTCTGCTATGATCGGAGTACACGATTCATAAAAGGTTTTACAAATTTCTGAAAAGAAAGTCCAGGGCCCGCATGATTCGTGGAGAGAGCGTTTACATTTTGCGTTGCGGCATTCAGCATTGAAATCTCGCGCACAACTGTCGCCGGTTTCACCTTGTCCTTAGGAAGGGCGGGGACATCGGCGAGTCGCCCACAGCGGTTCCCACTGTGAAGAAAGTGAGAAGCCTTAGATTATTTATTGTTAATACTTTATCAAAATTATTCCTTTGAACAGAAGTGTGCATAATAAAAATGACATCTGAAACCGCACCCCTTTATTGACTGAGCAATTAACTAAATGTTGTTAAAGATAAAATGTCAATTCATCAATTCTCTGCTGTTGACATTGACGGAAATGAGGTATTATGAATGCTTGTTTTTATTTCCTTTTCATAAAACATTCATTAATTTTCTAGCGTTAGTAGATTTGTTCCCAAGTCTACATTGAGTTCGATTCTCCTGTACTTCTCTCTACCTTGAGTTCTCTTGCACTCCTGTCTAACTTGAGTTCTCATGTAATCCTCTCTATCTTGAGTTCTCAGTTATTTCCTAACATACGATTTTTGGACCCCTCCCGCTTCCCCCTTCCCGCTTCCCCCTTCCCCCTTCTATCAATTTTTTGTCGTGGATCTTATATGTAAGACATGGATATAATTGACCATTTTGGCCGCAGCGCCCGGCCCCCTAGCCTGTCCCAGGCGCGGCGCTCGGCCCCCTATCCTTTTTCTAGCCGCAGCGCTCGGCTCTGAAAGTGGCTTAACCTAACCTAACTCTGAATAAATACTTATTTTATTGAAAATTGTTGAAAAAGTGGTCATGTTTAAAATTGATGGGGGGGGGGGGAGGGGTCAAAATCGTTTACTAGGACGGGCCCGAGTTCTCCTGTACCCCTCTCTATCTCGAGTTCTCCTATGGTTATTTCTATCTTGAGTTCTCCTGTACTTCTCTACCTTGAGTTTTCCTGTGCTCCTCTCTACCTTGAGTTCTCCTGTATTCCTCTCTACCTTGAGTTCTCCTGTACTCCTCCATACCTTGAGTTCTCCTGTATTCCTCTCTACCTTGAGTTCTCCTGTACTTCTCTACCTCGAGTTCTCCTATATTCCTCTCTACTTTGAGTTCTCTTGTACTCCTCTCTACTTTGAGTTTTCTTGTACTCCTCACTTCCTTGAGTTCTCCTGTACAGTGTACTCCTCTTTACCTTGAGTTCTCCTGTGCTCCTCTCTACTTTGAGTTCTCTTGTACTCCTTTCTACTTTGAGTTCTCCTGTACTCATTTCAACCTTAAGTTCTCCTGTACTCCTCCCTACCTTGAGTTCTCCTGTACTCATTTCAACCTTGAGTTCGCCTCTCTATCTTGATTTCATTTGTACTCCTCTCTACCTTGAGTTCTCCTGTACTCATCTCTACCTTGAGTTTCCTGTACTCCTCTCTACCTTGAGTTCTCCTATATTCCTCTCTACTTTGAGTTCTCTTGTACTCCTCTCTATTTTGAGTTCTCCTGTGCTCATTTCAACCTTGAGTTCTCCTGTACTCCTCCCTACCTTGAGTTCTCCTGTACTCCTTCCTACCTTGAGTTCTCCTGTACTCCTCCCTACCTTGAGTTCTCCTGCACTCCTCCCTCCCTTGAGTTCTCCTGTACTCATTTCAACCTTGAGTTCTCCTCTCTACCTTGATTTCTTCTGTGCCCCTCTCTACCTTGAGTTCTCCTGTACTCCTTCCTACCTTGAGTTCTCCTGTGCTCATCTCTACCTTGCGTGTTATTGTACTTCTCTCTACCTTGAGTTATCCTAAACTTTATTCTACCGTGAGTTATCCTGTACTTCTCTCTAGTTTCCTCAAATTCTATGTATCCAAAATTCGGATTTTAAAAATGATGTAGGTCTCCATGGAGAAATACAAGGGTCACGTCTGCATAATCGTCAATGTCGCGACTAAGTGAGGAAAAACTGACGTAAACTACAGGTACAGAATTTTTAATTTCGTCAATGTACCGAGATTCTCAGAAGAATACTTTTTGCCTCAGGCTTAATATTTTTACCAAATAAAATTCTTTTACGCGGTTAGTATTAAATCTTATTCACGCTTAACCTATTGATATACTAATTTGATAGAAACATCAATTTTATTTGCGAAGCAGGGTTTGTTTGCACTATGAGCTAGAGCTTGCTATTTTGAATAGATGTTTTTATATTTAAATGAGAATGGGTCTAAAACGGGGTCACTGGCATCAATTACTGGTATTTTTTTAAAGACATCCTGTATGTGCAATGTACATTGTATTTTATGATGAGCAGTGATATCATATAGTGTAGGAAAATCGCAAAAATTTTAGTGCATCGGAGTGTCAGTATCTATTATACCGTGATAAAAAAATATTTTCTTGTTTGTTTATGAAATATTCTGAAGAAATTCTTATCAATTTTGTTAAAATTATAAAGTGCAAGTTCTTGCAATTTTAATGTTTAATTAATATTTAAAATTTAAATAACTTATTCACCTCCCCCCCCCCATATCATTTTCTTAATTTTTGTCTTAATTTTTTTCTATAAATATTATTATAATATATCATGTTTGAAAACCACTGCGCCTTTCTTTATACATGTTTTAAATAAAACCGCAAAGTTGTAAGGAATATCGTCATATTATACTTTTTCCACAAACGTACGATGGAATCTTCACACGTAGAGGAGGGGGGAGTGGGTTGCATATCACTTGCAAATCAATCAATTAAATTAATTTTATTTTTTTTGTATTTTAGACAGTTGGTAGAGCTCTATTCAAAGTACTCTGAAACTGATGGTTTACGTATTCTTGGATTTCCTTGCAACCAATTCGGGGGACAGGAACCAGGAACAGAACAGGAGATCAAGGTATAAGCTAGACCAGGAGATCAGGGTATAGATAGAACAGGTATATGATAGATTAGGTATGTGATAGATTAGGAAATCAAGGTATATGATTGATCAGGAGATTAAGGAATAGGATAGAACAGGATATTAAGGTATAGGATAGATTAGGAGATCAAGATATAGGATAGAAAAGACAATCAAGGTATAGTACAAAACAGGAGATCAATGTAAGGGATAGATCAGGAGATAAAGGTATAGGTGTAAACAGTAGAGAAGATCAAGGTACAGAATATTTAAGGATAAGAAATCAAGGTATAGGAGTGATTAGGAGAGTAGATCATGGTGAAGAATAAATAAGGATTGGAGATCAAGTTATAATAGTGAACAGTAGAGGAGATCAAGGTTTAGGAGTGAACAAATGATAAGTTCAAGGTTTAGGATATACCAGAAGATAGATTAAATGTTTCTGTGGATAAAGAGCATTTCAATTAAGGAGTTCGCAAGTGGAAAGTACAACGTAACTTTCGACATGTTCTCAAAGATCAACGTGAATGGAAGCTCCGCCCACCCCATGTGGGCGTTCCTCAAGGAGAAGCAGGGCGGATTTCTTATGAATGCGATCAAATGGAACTTCACCAAGTTCGTTGTTGACAAGGTAAACAATTTATTTCCAAACAAAAGAAAAAACTTATTGATGTCTTGAAACTTAACGAATAAAAAAGCAGTGTTATTTTTATAATAATTCCAAACCTTCCTTTATTGAGATCTGTAGTTTGAATTATTTTCAGGATGGGATTCCTGTCGCCCGACTAGGACCTACTGATGATCCTATTCCTAATGTGGAGAAAGAAATCAAGAAATATTTCTAAACAAATGACGAACAACGAGCATCACCAATCACCAGCTTTCACTGTTCATCCCAAAACATAAATTTCTTCCCTTACTTCAAGTAATTGAGCCTTTGTCAGAAACTACGATTTTCAATTTTCCGATATCTTTGCAACGCAATGTCATAGACCTTAGATATTTAAAAACTATTAAATCTGTTAACTCAAATTATAAGTTTGAATTTTCAAAGTTATAGAAAATGGGAATTTGTGACAAAGACTTACTTCCTTTGTACAATGATAAAAAATTTGATATTTAGTCCTGTTGTAGTCAACTATTATATTTTTTGATTGAAAATTCCATATATTGGGCATTTTATAAATTGTGATTAATTATATCTTTGTCACTGATAACATTTATTATAATCTGTTATAAATTCATATAATTTTTATCAGAAAGTTTTTTTGTTAGATGTAAATGAAAGAATACTCTATACAACACATATATATATTAAACTGTGATTATAGAAAACCATTGAAATCTTAGTGTTTAATGACTGTTCTCTCTTAAAGCTATTAGGCTGGAGTAGAACATGATGAATCAAACATAATGGATTTCAGACCAAACATGGAGATCAGTCAGAACATGGAGGATGTCCCTGAGATAAAGTTGGACCTCGCCAACATCAAGAAGGAGATCTACAGGGTCCTCAAGGTGAACATCAGCAACATTTTTTACACAGTTAACTCTTCAAACGGGATTGTATTTTTTTTAGAGTATTATTCCCTTCTATAAGGTCACGTACTGAACTTCTCATTTATGTCATGATTTTAAGTATTTTTGTGACGTGGATGTTACGCACGGTTAGTTTTGTAGAAATTGCAGGCTGTGCTCCGGGTACAGTAGTCTCCTAGCCATTTCTAGTTTTACAATGCAGAAATCATTTAAAGGGATTGTTCTCAAATTATTCTAAAAAGGGCCATGTCAATAAATCATCATGAATGCTGTACTTTAAACCTACGCAATTAGACTCAAGATCTCAGACTGATGCGTCTTAATAATCTCCTTATTGTTCTCAGTGTCAAAAATGAGCAAGATATTGTCGAAAATCGTTCTGTCCTGATTGTGAAGTTTAATGTTGTAGTGTCAATTTAAATTGAGTGAACGGTCCTTTAAAGTTTTAAAATTGTATTTGTCGCAAGCTGAGAAAATAATCTGGTTTCAGGCAACCACTGAAAGAGGACTGCTACACACTTGTAAACTGTTAGCGGAGATAAACCATGCGATTAGGTCGGTATTTACGTTTATTTCATGTTATTCGATTGATATTGTTGTAATCAGAAGAGAGGGGTGTGTTAGTGGTTTTCTAAAATTAATTATGAAATGGGTCTAAGAATTTGTAAATTGTTAGTTAGAAATTTCAAAAACTTTGCTCTGTTTAATTTAGAAATGTATCAGTTCTAACTATTGGGAACTACAAAATCATTGTGGGAAATTTCGGATTAAAACAAAGCATATTTTCGTAAATTCCCCTCCCCTATATTATCTAAATCTCAACTTTTCTACTGAAAATTTACGTTTAATCTTCGATCCATTTTGTGTTTTTTTTTTCGTTCCGGATCAGTGTCAGTTGACTACTAGGTTTGAAAGTGTCTGCTGATTGTTGATTTAAAAACCGGTTTCAGTGTCAGATTACTTAACTTCTCATTGGTTCACTATAGTCAAAAGTGTCAATTGTCACCTGAATGTTGATCTGAAAACCGGTTTCCGTCTAGTGTCAGATTACTTTTAAGCTTCTGATCGGTTCCGTATAGTCTAAAGTGTCAGAAGGTCAGCTGATTGTTGATTTGAAAGCCGGTTTCCATCTACAGATTACTTAACTTCTGATCGGGTCCCTTTAGTCAAAAGTGTCAGTTGTCAGCTGAGTGTTGATTTGAAAACCGGTTTCCGTCAAGTGTCAGATTACTTACTAACTTCTGATCGGTTCCTTATTGTCAGTGTCAGTTTTCAGCTGAATGTTGTTTTTACTTACTAACTTCTTATCTGTTCCCTCCTTATCAGTTGAAGTAAAAATAAGTCCTAAATATAACCCCCGTGGTTCAGCAAAGTTTATTTAAAAGATAATTTAAGGGAATATGTGGATTTGAGGACATGAAATTTTGTATCCCCAACATTAACAACACTGTTACAAATTTACCACACAATTTTATATTTATTATTTTAGACTTGATGGGTCTGAGGATAAAATGAGTGAGAGTTCAGGTTATTGATTTAAAATTTCTTGAAGGGATCGGCTTCAATTTATTAAAATGAAATTGATTATTTCCAGATGAGGCTTTTTAGAATTAGCACCATTGTTATAAAAGACTAGCTTGGGAACTCAGATTTTACTGGAGTTTAACTTTAAGTTGATTTTTTTAACAAAGCAAAGAACATTTTTTTCATTTTTTTTTACCCTTTTACTTGGGGTACTCAAGGGTTCCCTCGAAAAATTTCAGCCCATTCGGTCCAGCCGTTTGGCTAACTATAGCTATATATATGAGCGAAGAGCCTTATTATATAGATTTATATATAAATGCAATCATTCTTAAATTTGTACCTAGATTACTCTGGACCTAGTGGACTTGACCCAGACCCGTCCTGTACCTCTGAACTACCTGGAGCAGAGTCTAGTTGTACCTCCGACCTACCCGGAGCAATCCGTTCTACCGACCTACCTATACCTGGTCCGGAGCTGGACACATACCAACTAGGGAAAACATATTATGATCTCAAGGAGTATGACAGAGCAGCGTTCTTTACCAAGTCCCTCACTTCAAGTCAAGGTATTGATAAGTGGACACTGAACCTAAGGCAAATATTTTATTTGGAAAAAAGACTCATGGTGTATATTTTTAAAGAATTACTCCCATGTATTTGTTAAAAGTGAGGGTTATTTGTTAAGATATGGGTGAAAAAACGGAGATCGATATAAGCAAGTTTCATCATTGTTGACAAATTTTACCCAATAGATTTATTTTCCTCCAATTAATTTGTTTTCCCCAATTCGGCGAATCAAACTCGAAAAAATGATTTCAAGAGGGGGGGGGGTGTTGATGATTTCAATAAAATACATAACCCTCTTAACTCTAAAGCTTTTTTTGAATTGTAAACATTGAATACATGACATTGTTGAGCATATCATTTCCATGGCCATTGAGATTTCTCAGTCTCCCTCATAACCTGCTCCCGTCGCCTGCACCTCTCTCCCCCTCTCCTAAACCAGATCTAATCAGCTGACCCGGGAGTATCATGGCGGGAAAGCCAGTTCAACAAACATGAATATGATAAAGGCTCCTAGAGTTGTATAAAGCTGGAGTGAATTCTGGACTAGATTTGAAACTTCACCTGTGGTCTAGAGATGGACAAAAATTCTTCTCTTTTACTCGTTTACCCGGACATATGCACAAGGAAACCTATAGCTCTACCCAGAAAAGAAGATGGAGGAGAGAACCGTACTTGCACCTGAAACAGAGAAAACCGAAAAATGTCATAGGACGTTAACTGGAGACATGATCTAAGTTTAATAATAATGTCCCTTATTTTTAATCTTGATTCACTGGATATTCGAAATTATTGAATATAATATACTCTGTATATTAATGTGATATATGCAACCATATGAATATCATGACAACAATCGGAAATTTTCTTATATACTCCGCCAGGAGTCCTGAAAATAATCCTAACATAAACATAAGTTTTATTACTAACGAAAATTTTATTTTAGGTCGTTTCCTACACTTCTACTGTCGATATTTGTCTTCTGAAAAGAAAAGATTAGATGATATAACTGATACTTCGAATACTCCTGATGCAGTGCAATTACCTAAACTCAGGTTAGGAACAATCATCAAACTTATGCTTTTTTAGGAGAAAATATATTTAGGTAGAATTAATTTTATTTCTTCGTTTTTAATTCTCTGTTTACACGTCTGTGAATTTTGTTGTTGGCTTTTTTTCTTGTCACCTACTTAATTTTTAATTTTCCCCTTTTGTTTGTGTCAGCACCATTTTTTGGTACTTGTGCCAAATAAGATTTTAATGTCACCAGGGACCGAACTTAATGAATGCTACGTCGCAATTAACTCAAATATCAAATCAAATATATATGTTTGTCTCAAGCGGGCATACATATAAGAAAACAAAAAAATTTAAAACATATTTATTAAACTTGAGACATACTGGCGGTTCAAATTTGAACCATTGATTCAAAGTTTTAAGATTAAGGAAGGATTTGAATTAAAACCGGCAGGAGGCAGTTTTTAAAAATAAAACTTTTTCTTTTTACGAAATTATAAATAAATATTGTAAACCAAGTTTTAGTGATTGCAACATTTTCGTGTATTTTTCCTATTTGATAAGAATGCACCCTCCACACTTCACAGCTGAACTCATGATTGTTGTAGACAGTTACGCGTTGAGCTGGAGAAACTGTACACAATAAAGGAACTAGATGCGTACACCCTGTACATATACGGAGTTGTGTTACGGAAACTATCCCTTGTCGATCTCGCGGTCCCGATCCTCTGTGAGAGCATTCAACGTAAGTTTGACATAACCGATTTTTTTTTTTTGGTCAATTTTATGCCTGCAGTTATTTTCGTTTCGAGTTCATTTTGAAGCATTTTGATATTTTATTAAATCCATGTTTTAGTTTACACGCAAAAGTTCCACCTCTTCTAGACCCTTTGAATTTGAATTACATTTTAGGAGGAATTTTAGAAAGACCAGGAATTAATTAAAATTAATCAGACCACTTTACAATCTTATTTTACAAATATGATTAATGAAATGATGGTGATAATAATAATAATTCTAAAATGTGGTCTGCATTTATTATGCGTATAAAATTACCAGAGATATGTATGAAAAGTCGTCTGATTAACTGTCCATTAATTCCGAGTCTGTCTGGTTATGACTTTTCACAAATTTATTTTATCAGCAACAAAAAAAAACATTTTAACGATCTGAGACGAAGAATATTTTAATGATGGAAACTGTAATTTTTCAATCGTATTATTCTTATTTAATCCGCAGAGCAGAGCAGAATTTTTCCGCTTAGCAAGTTATTTCCAAGAAATATTGTTGGATTGATGGTCATTATAATTATTATGAACTTAGTTCAGATATTCTTGTTTTTCTGTTGTAGTTAGATGTGAAGCAAAGTATCTTGTTTCTTTTAAGGTTTCATCTCTCTTTTACACAGCCGGGATTATTATTATAGTTATAACGTGAGTTAGGATTACAAAATCAGTATATTGCAGGCATAATACACAGTACAGTTACACACTATGAAGGATATTATATGAAACCCTGCTATACGTATCGAGTTCCTAATTTTAGTGGATTATTAGACTCAGTGCTCAATATGTAACGGAAGTGGAGGGGGGGGGGGGGGACAGCAAGGGATTGAATTATTTTGCTTTACATTTCTCTCAGGAAATCTTTTTGTTTCCAAATTGTTATCTAACGATTTTTTCCATTCTTTTAGATAACATTTTTACATTTTTATTCTCACACTAAATCTGCATTGCTTATTTGCGAAAACGTTAACAACTTCTTGTTCATGAAGGAAACTATGATCTTGACCCCTTTTCACGGTGTTAACTAATACAACTAAAATTAAACATTTTTTTGGATTTTTTTTCCCAACAATTAACCTACAATGCATGTTCATTGTTCGCTATTTATTGCTTCATTTTTTTGGAGACGGAATGTTTTTGAAATAACAAATATTAAAATGTGTAGTGGAACCAATGCACTGGGGTTCATGGCAGGAGTTGAGCTGTCTAGTCACAAGTAGAGAGAAACTTATGTCATTAGATCTTCCATTCCACTGGATTAGGTAAGCAGTTCATAGGTAGAAACTTTTGTTGAAGAAAGCGCAGAAAGTGTTTTTATTGTTTGACATATATTTCATCATTTAATTGTCAATCGATAAAGCAGAATCGGCATCTTAGCGTTCACAAAAAATTCTGATATTAGAACTGCGTGTTTATTAGTTTGTATGTTAAAAATACCTCACTTGTATTTAATAAACAACAAAAATGCATTTTAATTGGTTTGATAAAATCGACTTTTATTGTTAAAGAGCAATATTTATTTGCGAGATAATTGAAGCCATATTGTTTTAAGGAACCTATTCACAGCTCATACCTACCTAGAGCTTCAACAGAACGAAGAAGCTCTGCAGCTTTACTTCGGGCTCATGAACGCTGGGCTTCAGGACTCTTCATATATTATGGCACAAGTTGCAGTAGCTTTGCATAACATGAGACAGGTCAGGTTTACTTTATGTAAGACTTTGTCTAATGAAACGAAATTTAAATCGGTGTTGCATTTTGTCCTAGTTTGTACATTAAATGTCACATCTTGTTTATCCAAAATGCGCGTCGTTAATTTGCGTCCTCACTGAATGTCTGAAAGGGATTGTAAGCGCAATTTCAATTGACCCTCCATGCAAAGAGTACAATGCCCGATTTACAACGACAGCCTTGAAAGATCTCTCTGTTTTAACATTAATTCCTCTAAAACGCAGCCTGTACACTATGTACACTGTACAGAGTACCTTCAGCGAAGCTGATCTGTTACTTACTCAAAGTATCGACTGATTACGTCAAAACTTGTTTTCAAACATTTCAAAGTAAATTTTATTTTCTGCCGCCGCGCTCTTAAAACAGAGCCAGTGATATTTCTTGAATATAAAACAGCTTGCAAACTAAGTATTTAGCAATTAAAAACGTTTCGTAAAATTGATATAGATATGTCCGACATCCTTCATCCGTCGAAGGTTTAAAGGGTACCGTTGTGAATCGGAAAAGCTTCTATTTTGAATGGAAGGTTACTTGAAATTATGCTTACTCTCCCTTTAATGATTAATACTTTTTATTTTTACCTAGTGCTTCATAAACCATGAAATTTTGAATATGTGTGACACGAAGCGCAAACTGATCCAAAGGTTGCAAGCTCTCACGCAAACTGATCCAAAGGTTGCAAGCTCTCACGCAAACTGATCCAAAGGGTGCAAGCTTTTACGCAAAAATCGTTGGGAATTTTCCCAATTAATGTTTAAAAACTACAGCTAAGGCCTAAATACAAGGGCGTTACAGTTTTAAAACTTACAGCTAGGACTACCGAAAAGTATTAATCAGTTAGTGAGGTAAAATAAATAGACCAAGGCGTTGCGACACTTTAAAGTTGACCCAGTTTTACGAAATTGATGCAGTCGGATGAGTGAGCGGGGAGTCCCTATTTCTTTCAATTAAATAATTTCAGTGAAAGTTTAAAACTTAAAAACTTAAATCTTTATTAAGGTTGATCAGGCGGTAGATTACTTTAAACAAATCGGAGAAATAGATCCGTATCGTTTAGACAACATGGATACATACTCTAATCTTCTCTACGTCAAGGAACAAAGGGTGGAGCTAGCACATCTAGCACATAGGTAGGAACCCTACCAACACTAACTCTTCGGAGAGATTTTACAATTGATAAGATAACATACATTTTAACAAACAAGGGTATAACAAGTAAATTTAATTCCTTTCCTAAACATAGACTACAAAAGACGAACAATATTTTAAATTTTATTTCCTGATTTTTACGGAATGCGAAATTTTACTCTGCCAGGGTTTTTCTTTTGTCAGAACCAAAAATTGTGCATAACGTAAAATGTCATTAAAGCGAATATTTCAAATATAGAGTTTTGTAAAATGTCATTAAAGCGAATATTTCAAATATAGAGTTTTGTAAAATGTCATTAAAGCGAATATTTCAAATATAGAGTTTTGTAAAATGTCAAAGACTTCGGAAAGCGCAATGAATTTGAATGTTTTATAAAACGGGTCAACTGGGCTGCCCCAAAAGGTCTTTATAAAATTAATATAGTTCTAATAATAATAAACTTTTTCAGAACCAACCAGATTGACAAATATAGAACAGAAACCTGCTGTGTTATTGGAAACTATTACAGTTTGAGGTAACTATCATTACATACTTGTACAAATGTATGATTTACAGAACACATACTCAATATGTACAAAGTACAATTACATGTACATTGTAAAGTGGGACCCAAACAATTTTGGAATAGAAGGAGGGCCGTATACAGGAATTTGTCCAGGGGACTTTGAAATCGTTGGGACCTGAAAATTCGCAGGAAGCCCTGGATTTCAATATGCGTTTGCGTTTTTGGTGATATATGGAGCTAAAGGATTTAAAAGTATAATTTTTCAGTGAAATTTTTAGAAATTGTTTTAAAACCTGCGTACTCTAACAACATTTTTGTTTTTGTACATGTTAAACATGCAACATAAAAAACATGCAATCTAAGAGTTACATAGAGCTCATAGTTTCACCAGTATCATTTTTTCAATTAGTCTTCAACCTGCGTAATGTCACTGTACATGAAACATTGTACATGATACCTGATAAACATGCAACAGCAACAAAAAAACAAATAGAGTATACTTTACGAATGCAATCAATACAATTAACAGATGTTATTTAGACAATGTTTCTCATGTTAACTTTTTAGTTCTCAACATGAAAAAGCTGCGCAGTATTTTCAACGCGCACTGAAGCTGAATCCTGGATACTTGAGCGCGCTCACACTGATGGGACACGAGTACATGGAGATGAAGAACACAACCGCAGCCATCCACTCCTATAGGCAGGCCATAGAGGTCAACAGGAGAGATTACAGGTAGGAAAATAGGTTTGCAGGAGGGATTACAGATAGGATAATAGGTTAATAAGAAGCATTACAGGTAGGAATAGAGGTCAACAGGAGGGATTACAGGTAGAATAATAGTTTTATAGGAGGAATTACAGGTAGGATTAGAGGTTATCTGGAGGGATTACAAGTAGGATTAGAGGTCAACAGGGGGTATTACAGGTAGGATTAGAGGTCAGCAGGAGGGATTACATGTAGAATTAGAGGTCAACTGGAGGGATTACATGTAGAATTAGAAGACTAAATGTTAACAGAAGTGATTACAGGTAGAATTAGAAGATTAGACGTTGGATTAGAAGATAAGAGGGAGGGATTACAGGTAGGGTTAGAGGCCATCAGAAGGGATAACAGGTTGGATGAGAAGATTAAAGGTTAACAGAAGGGATTGCATGAAGGTTTGGAGGTCAACAGGAGGAATTATTAAAGGACTTCATGGAATCATATCTTGTTGTGTTTATCAACGTTGGAATATATATGGGACTAGCGTGTTTTCTGGCGGGACTTCAAGGGTTCAATGTTTTCGTGATATTGTAACTTTTTAATTATATACATTTATACAATTTGTAGAACATGGTCACGTTAAATCCTTGTTTTTGTTTTTGTTTTATCCAACATTAGATCTAGTCTACTAAATATACAGTGAGTTATATACAGGTGGGATAGTTTTAATTTAATAATCGAGACTATGGACTAGAAATTTACATGGAAAGATGGCTGGTAGTTTCTGCAAATACGGAACACGTGTACATTGTTTTATTTACGTTTACATCAATTAAACCTTTTTTCTAAGGGATTGTCTTAATTTCCAATGACCTTTATACGTTAAGATGCGTATGCCCATGGCCTGAAAACCTTTACTGATTAACATTGTGCAAGTTGTCGTCTATTTTTCAGTGAAAAGAAAAGGGTTCAATTCTACAATTGAAAATGGCCAACTGTTAGAGAGAAGATTATGAATCTCGTATATTTTTTATTCAGGATTTGAATGTTACACTATAGATGGAGAGGGATTTGAAATTACGTCTTCAGACCTTTAAAGATCAGTGCTAAGATAAAGATGAATATCAGTGTTGCAAGTAAAATAATCATTGCCAATCTTGCATCTATATATATATATAGAACTGAAAACAAGATCTGCAAGTTCAATCAATGTTGAGTTTAAAGATCAGTGCTAAGATAAAGATGAATATCATTGTTGCAAGTAAAATAATCATTGCCAATCTTACATCTATATATATATATAAGAAGTACTGAAAACAAGATCTGCAAGTTCAATCAATGTTGAGTTTAAGCAATTTGAATTAATCTAAAAGGACTGCCAGGTGCCAAGGTTCATACGATATAATTAATTTAATTGTAGTTGACGCGATTTAAAACCTGTATCTGAGAAATGACAAGAAATGGCCGATTTAATTTTGGGGATCCTTGTCTATCGGCGATGGTGATTTTAAACTACGAGAATAATCCTTCAAGAGTATTCCTAGATGTTCAGACACTAAAGTCACTAACTTTCTAGGACACTTATACTGTATACTGTAGTTTGTCTAGATACTGTATTCACTATCTGTCTAGGATACTACTGTATACTGTAGTTTGTCTAGATACTATATTCACTATCTGTCTAGGATACTACTGTATACTGTAGTTTGTCTAAATACTATATTCACTATCTGTCTGGAATACTACTGTATACTGTAGTTTGTCTACATATTTTATTCACTATCTGTCTAGGTTACTACTAGATACTATATTCACTATCTGTCTAATCTGTATACTGTAGTTTGTCTAGATACTTTATTCACTATCTGTCCAGGATACTACTGGATACTGTAGTTTGTCTAGTTTGTCTAGATACTGTATTCACTTTCTTTCTATGATACTAATGTATACACTATCTGTCTAAGATACTACTGTATTCACTATCTGTCTAGGATACTACTGTATTCACTATCTGTGTAGGATACTACTGTATACACTATCTGTCTAGGATTTTCTGTATTCACTATCTGTCTAGGATACTATTGTATTCACTATCTGTCTAGGATACTACTGTATTCACTATCTGTCTAGGGTACTACTGTATTCACTATCTGTCTAGGATACTACTGTATACTGTAGTTTGACTAGATAGCCTCATGATAACACATCACTTCCCCGCCCACACATACCAGGGCGTTTCTAAATAAACTGCATTGCAATTCCTACAAATTTAACAATGTAAAATACAGTAAAAGAACACTTATACCTCTACACAAGATGGAAAAACAGTCCTAAGATATATCCTTGTCTATTTTTAAACCAAACTTGAAACTACAACGGAAGGGTATTTGTAGAATTATAGAGATGACGCACTGCGGTGTGCACATTGCGTATATTGCGTCCACTGAGGAGGAATGAAAGGTTTGACGCCTATTTTATTATGGTATGAATGAACTGGGTTCAGTTCAGTTTAGTGGCCTAACTAAAGAGAGTTAAAACTCCAATATCAAAGACTGGGTATAAGCAACCACAAGACACATAATTGAGTCTTTTTATCATCGACTCTTTTGTTGATTTCGTGCATTTCTTCCTCTCCTCTCAGGAAAGGGAGACTTTCCTATCTTGACTCGAATCTGTTGTAAAGATATTCAAGTACCAGCCTAGGACAACACACTATCCGTTCTTGCATAGTACGCTCATTCTTGCTAGTCTCCACTCAATTCAAAATCTAAGAAATTAAGTAAATTTAAATCGATTCACATTGTATTGTGTAACACCCC